TTGTTGTAAATCCATCATCAGTCACAATGGCTTGCCTCTTCCTGGACACAACAGGGGGAAGCTGGTCATGGAGAGACTTGCCAACTTGATTACTGTCTTTCCCATTGCATTCTTCTACATGAGAGTACCATTGCATCTGTTGGTGGGACTTGGTATTCCTCTGGATGAACTGTTTTAGGTGATAGGCATTGATGAAGTCAATTATTTATAAGTAAAATTTATTTTTTTTGCTATTAAAGTGGTTTTGTCTGCACTATTAAGAGTGCTCTGTTTCTGTTTCAATCTGTTCAGGTATTGTATGAAATGTGTAGCTAAAATGTAAAAAATATCTTCAATTCCACTCCTGGTTCTTAGTTGTTTTCTTTATTCCAATACTTATATTAGTTTTTGTCTATATAAAATACATACACAAATTACGATATAAAGATATGAATGTAAGTCACTGGCAATTTCTTACAAAAGCAAGATTTATTCTTTTGCTTCCCTAGTTTGCCATGGCTGCCCTACCAAGGATGACCAAACCCATCTGTCTGATTGAGAATTGTGCTGATAAGAAGATGGCTGTAAATGAGGAAGCCAAAACAATCCTGTCCAAGATCTTGCAGCCACTGGTTGTGGTGTCCATTGTTGGACCTTACCGATCTGGAAAATCCTACTAATCAACAAGTTATCCGGCCAACCAGAAGGTAAAAGAATTACTCTGGGAATTTTCTGTTTCTATTGTACAAGTTTAGGATTAAAAATTGAAGTACTGGAATGATACAACAGTGGGCATACATTAAGTATTCTAATGTTATCTTCACATGATCATTTCTGGGAAAAGGGTGGGCTCTTGTTTGGGATCTATGGCTGCGGTTTTAGTGGTTTTTAGTAGCCACTGTACATGTGAAGCTTTGTGTACTTGCATCGTATTTGGGTGCCACCGTATATTTATGCCCTTTTATGTGCTGTTATTTCATCTAGTTATGGGCATCAGTCAGTATTACCTTACCTCTACATGGGCTAGACAGAGAATAGGAGATTTACTAAAACTGGTTGACTCAGAATCTTGGGCACCTGTGCATGGTAGCCAATCAGCTTCTAACCTCAGCATGTTCAGTTAAGCTTCAGCAATAAAACCTGGAAGCTGATTGGTTTTTATGCAGAAATGGACAAGATTCTGAGTCAACCAGGTTTAGTAAATAAACCCCAGAATGTCAACACAGGTCTAGGTAAATAACTGAAAGAGCTATAGCAAAGTGGTCAGATGTTGGAATATTGAGATCCAACCAAGGGTCAAGCCAACTTAGTTGTAATATCAAGCGTTTCATAACAGCCTACTAGGGCTGGGTATCAAGATCCATCATCTAGATATATAGACAGGAAAAAGAAACAGGAGACATACATTATGTTGGAGCAAGTTTGAAGACTAGGCAGTCCAGCCAAGCTCAATGAGTCTGAAAATAGCATTCACCTGCACAAAAATAACAGAATGTGGTCCTTATGGAGAAGGCCACAAATGCCTGAGCTCTGGGAGGGAAGAAAGTGATGATCCAACAGATAGTGAACCCACGGCCAATAGCCTCAAATAGGACCTCACCATAGATGGACACATAAGCTGCACATGGGCAATGGACAGTTGACCTGAGAGGCAGGTGACAACAAAGTTCATTACATCATACGTCTTCTGGTAAAATCTTCTTCTGGAAAAAGGAATGAATAATGTTGTTTGTAAAGATAGTTCGTTATGTAAGAGAATCTCTATAAATGACAGCAAACACAAATATATTAATCTCATGTGATTTCTTGCATTTGCCAGACTCTCTGTGGCCACCTTTAGGATGTCCTCATTGGTCAAAGACCTTCATTTGATGATTGTGTTGAGCCATTAGAAATTCTATGAATTGTTTTGGTCAATCACCATTTACTGTTGTGGTCCTGGTGCCTATTTTAATGGATGACTTTAATTCTTATTGCTGGGTTATACCCACATCAGACTGCACATCCGGGATAGTGGTGGAGTTTCTTTTGGTAATGGATGGTTTTGTGTAAGAAGCTAATGATGATTGTGTCACTGGGGAGTAGAAAAATAGTACATTTAACAGACTGCTTTATTCTGTTCTGCTTTCACAGCAGATATATAGGAAACATTTCTAGCATGCAATCTGCTTTTTCCACAGTTTTTTCTCTGTGGATCCCACAATTAAAGCAAATACAAAGGGAATCTGGATGTGGTGCATGCCACACCCAAAGAAACGTGAACATACTTTGGTGCTTCTGGACACGGAAGGACTGGGAGACCCAGAAAAGGTAAGCCTGGAAAGGAAGTTTATGACATTATAATGTATGGAGGTCTCACCATTAATCATACCACCTCTGTCTTTTTAGGGAGATAAGGACAATGATGGTATAATCCTGTCAATGGCCATGCTCATGAGTAGTGCTGTCATTTACAACAGTACTGGGGTTATCGACCTCAATGCCCTGGAGAATCTAGAGTATCCTTTCTGTCCGAAGACAAACTGCTCTTACACAGATACAGTATATCACTGGTCCTTCCTTCCTTCCTTCCTTCCTTCCTTCCTTCCTTCCTTCCTTCCTCCTTCCTTCCTTCCTTCCATTCCTTCCCCCATCTATCCCCTCCCTTCTCTTTCTTCCTTCCCCTTTCTTCCTTCATCTATCCCCTCCCTTTTCTTTCTTCCTTCCCCTTTCTTCCTTCATCTATCCCCTCCCTTTTCTTTCTTCCTTCCCCTTTCTTCCTTCATCTATCCCCTCCCTTCCTTCCTTCCTCTTTCTTCCTTCCTCCATCTATCCCCTTCCTTTTCTCCTTCCTCCATCTATCCCCTTCCTTTTCTTCCTTCCTCCATCTATCCCCTCCCTTTTCTTCCTTCCTTCCTTCCCCTTTCTTCCTTCATCTATCCCCTCCCTTCCTTCCTTCCTTCCTTCCTTCCTTCCTTCCCTTCCCCTTTCTTTCTTCCTTCATCTATCCCCTCCCTTTCCTTCCTTCCTTCCTTCCTTCCCCTTTCTTCCTTCATCTATCCCCTCCCTTCCTTCCTTCCCCTTTCTTCCTTCATCTATCCCCTCCCTTCCTTCCTTCCCTTCCTTCCTTCCTTCCTTCCTTCCCCTTTCTTCCTTCATCTATCCCCTCCCTTCCTTCCTTCCTTCCTTCCTTCCTTCCTTCCTTCCTTCCCCCTTTCTTCCTTCATCTATCCCCTCCCTTCCTTCCTTCCTTCCTTCCTTCCTTCCTTCCTTCCTTCCCCTTTCTTCCTTCATCTATCCCCTCCCTTTCTTCCTTCCTTCCTTCCTTCCTTCCTCCCTTCCTTCCTTCCTTCCTTCCTTCCTTCCTTCCTTCCTCTTTCTTCCTTCATCTATCCCCTTCCTTCCTTCTTCTTCTTTCTTCCTTCATCTATCCCATCCCTTCCTTTCCTTCCTTCCTTCCTTCCTTCCTTCCTCTTTTCTTCCTTCCTCCATCTATCCCCTTCCTTTTCTTCCTTCCTCCATCTATCCCCTCCCTTTTCTTCCTTCCTTCCCCTTTCTTCCTTCCTTCCTTCCCCTTTCTTCCTTCCTCCATCTATCCCCTTCCTTTTCTTCCTTCCTTCTTTCCTTCCCTCCGAACATTTTCGGGAAGCAGGAGATACCATCTGCAAAACACAATTGGGAGAGGGGAGTAAACCCTGAGAAGAATGGAGGAAATGGGTGCTAGAAGACTTTCCTCCGCCAGGCTCTATGATTTCAGGTCTGAAGGGGGAGCAGGTGATTGTACAGTATAATGCCCAAACATCTGTCACTGACTGCGGGTACCTCTCTGATCAATGAATTGTGAAACATCTTCACTCAGGACCACCAGACCAACATATCATATTATACTAGCCAAGTTGGAGGGCGAATACCTCTGAGCCCAGTCTTCCCCTGATGTTAACTTTGTGTGTGTCTGAAAGAACACATTTGTTGCAAATTTTGAAAATATCAACTTTATTTCCTAAAGGAAACTCATCACAAGAGAATTATGGAGCTGCCATTGCTGACCTCTCCATCCAAAAGTGCCAGCTGGCTACATGAAACTTATCCACTTCCATATTTTGAACCATTGACATGGAACAAGCAGATAAGGACTTTTTTCTGAATCTGCATTTTGTTCCAGCCTAGTGATGTAAAAAGTACTAAAGACTTACAAGGAACTAGAATTTTAAGACAGAAGCAATTGTAGCTCACATATTTTTCTCAATATAGGTTTACGTTAATACATTTTAGACACAAGCTGGCACCAATACAGGTTTTATGTCCTTAATAAAATACATTTACAGCTCTACATTGAACCTACATAGTAAGATCATACACAAAGCCTCCATTCAGAAGGTGAAAGCCCAGACTCAGGAAGACAATATGGTGCCTCTCTTTGTCTGGGTCATACGGGATTTTACCCTGAAGTTAGAGTTGGACGGACGCTTGGTCACCGCTGATGAATATTTGGAAGATTGTCTGAAGAATGTCCGTATGTATTGACCTGTTAAAAAAAAAAAAAAATTTAATGGCAAATTTGTTTACTATGCAGAATCTTTATTTGTATACCTAAAAATCACCACTTGTAGCTGTCATCACCAGGGTAGATAGTTCAGTTCTTGGAAGGAATTCATTTTCCTCATTTATAGGGCCAGTCAACCTAATATAAATGTTATCGGTTATAGACAGATGCTGGTTCTATTAATCACCCATTGGGTCTTATCATTTTTGAGAACCCCAGGTGTGAGAATTTCCTATTAAAGACCCCAGTCCGCTTTTAACCAGCCGTGAAATCTAGCAGAGGAACTTCAATCCTTCTGCTGCAATCACAGTAATGTAATGGAGACGGTTCCAACCACAAGACCATAAACTAAATGAAGGTGTGTCCATGGCTCCAACTCTTGATTTAATTTTGAATAGAGTGGGAAAGGATTACAGCCCCTGTCAAATCTTTATTTCATTCTGTGTCCTTGCTATAGAAATTATTTTTTCTTTTTATCCTTCTGACCATGATCAATGAGGCAGAAAGTAACAGAAAAACCAAAATCTTAGAGATGTCACCAGAACAAGAGGGGAGGGGAAATGCGGACACTTCTTCTGTTGACAGTTGTCTAAGTAGAAAACAAATCTCTCACTTCAGAGGGATTTCTTTTAGCTCCCTGTTGTATTTACAGGGCATCAGTCAATCATCCAATCATGTGCAAGCAAAAATGCTGTTTTATTTTCTTTGCACATGATTGGGTATTGTTTACAAAGAGAAATCTGACGGCATTCCTTGAAGGATAAGTTCACCTTTTGTAACATGTTACAAATGGACCAGCCCCCGCTCCCCCCCACTCCCTGCTTTGACAGCTATCAGGGGATCTTCTCCCTCCTCGCTAGCTGTCAAGTTTTAAAGAAATGCGGCAATGTTCTGTGAATGAGAGACTACAAGTCCCAACATCCTCAGAGGCTGTCGGCTTGTAGTTCTCAATGAACTACCAGAGTGCTGTGGAGCGACGTGGTTGTTTATTCATTCTTTCTGTCAGTAAATCCACTGGCTTGTACACCCTCTACACCCCATATATCCCATACATCCCATACATCCTGTACACCACATACACCCTGTACATCCCGTACACCGTACACCCCATTCATCCTGTCCACCATACACCCCATACATCATGTACATCCCATACACCCCGTACACTCCATACATCCCGTACACCCCTTACATCAAATATACCCCATACATCCCATGCATCTCATACACCCTGTACATCCTGTACATCCAATACATCCCGTACATCCCATACACCCTGTACATCTCATACACCCCGTACATCCCGTACACCCTGTACATCCTGTACATCCAATACATCCCGTACATCCCATACACCCTGTACATCTCATACATCCCGTACACCCCACACATCCCCCCTACCCCTGTACATCCCGTACATCCTGTACACCCCGTACACCCCACACATCTCGTACATCCCATACACCCCATCCCCCCCTACATCCCGTACACCCTGTACATCCTGGACATCCCATACACCCCGTACCCCCCCCCGATCCCATACACCCCATACATCCTGCACACCCCATACATCATGTACATCTCATACACCCCGTACACCCCATACATCTCATACACCCCATACATCAAATACACTCTGTACATTCCGTACACCCTATACACCCCATATATCCCATACATCTCATACACCCTGTACACCCCATATGGTGCATACATCCCATACATCCCGTACATCTCATACATCCCGTACACCCCATACACCTCGTACATCCTGTACACCACGTACATCCCATACATCCCGTACGCCAAGCAGATATACTGACAGGTCTGCAGGAGACCTGCATGGCACCAGCGATTTACTGACCGAAATAATAAATGCACATTTTTTTACCTACAAAAAATTTGCATTTATTATTTTTTACTAAAAGATTAACTTATTCTTTAAGCTTTGGGGAAACTTCCCCTGCAAAGTGCAAATTCCCTTGCAAAATAGACAGTCTATTTGCCGTTATTAACTGCTTCCCTCCTGCCGTATAGCAGATATGACGAAATATGTTTTTTTTTTTTTTTTTTTTTTACTGGATATGTTTAATAGCAAAAAGTAAAACAATATTGTTTTTTTTTCTCAAAGTTGTCAGTCTTTTTTTTATAGCGCAAAAAATAAAAAACCGCACAGGTGACCAAATACCACCAAAAGAAAACTTTATTTGTGGGAAAAAAAATAACATAAATTTCATTTGGGTGCAACGTTGCATGACCGCCAATTGTCAGTTAAAGTAACGCAGCGCCGTAATGCAAAAAATGGCCTGGTCGGGAAGGGGGGTCAATCCTGACCATTTTCCCTGGTACAGAAAGTTATAGGAAATTCAAAATAATAAGATTGTCACAAAAGGAGGTGAAGAAAGTCTTCCAGTAGGACAACATGTTCTGGTGTCTACAAGGGGATTTTTCTTCACTGTGAAGAATGTATTTATCCTTTCCCTTCTGTATCCAAAACCAAGCCTAAGGCAAATGTTGGTACACACAAAAGCTTTGAAGACATGCTCTGTGCACCCAGAACAATATACCAACAATATGCTTCAGTCTCATGGTGAATTCCCCGGTAACACAGTTAACAATGGAGCAAAGTGTTGTCCAAAGTGTAGACCCCAATAATAGCCAGGCATGTTTCATATTGGTCTATATTTTTTTCCCCTCATTTTAGCTGTGAAAACCCCCAGGGGACGAAGGCAAAATGAGATGCGCACAACTATCAGAACTCACTTTCCAAAAAGAAAGTGTTTCTACTTTGACCTTCCCTCCGCGGACAAAGAGGTTTTGAGACGCATGTCCCAAGTTCTGGAAACTGACCTAGCGCCTGAATTTGTCAGAAAGACTGAGGACCTCCGCAAGTTCATTCTTTGGGAAGCATCAACAAAAAAATTAGGACAGTACAGAATTATGACTGGGTCTGGTGAGTCAACAAGCAGCCAATGGTCTAAACCAGGGGTGGGAAACTGTGGCCCTCCAGCTGTTGTAGAACTACAAGTCCCATGAGGCATTGCAAAACTGACAGTTACAAGCATGACTCCCAAAGGCAGAGAGAACTTGTAGTTCACCAACAGCTGGAGGGCCACAGTTGCCCACCTCTGATCTAAACATTATGTGCCAGTGATATCATATTGCTCACATGTCATTTAACTCTGCTGACAAAACGTCTTTTCAAAGTGACACCATTAAGACTGGATTGGTTTTGTGTTATTGCTCAAAAGTAGTTTTGGGGAGTTTTTGGAAAGCAGGTATTTTGTGATTCTTGTGTTTGATTCTTTCCTACTTTTTGGTTCAAAGTTTATTGTGAAAGATTCACGTTATCTGACAAACGTTCCCATGCCATCTGAGCAGGAGCAGACTGACAACTCATGTCATGGGGTCCCCGGGCAATAGGGGATCATGGGTCCCCTGTGTCCTTGCCCAAACTCAAAAAAGCCTATGAAAAAGGTACCAGGGGCATCTCATGGGGCCCCCTACTGACCCTGGGACCTTGGGCAGTGCCCGAGTTTCCAAATGGTCAGTCCGCCCCTGCATCTGAGCTATCTGATCAACAGATACTATATCTGTGGGAAAGAAAAAATCAGCCAGATTTTTTTTCTAGAACAGTGAATGGTTAAAACCCCTGTCATTTTATTCAGGAGATACCATTATATGTATGTAATGTCCAAACCTAAAAAAAAAAAAAAAGTAAGTAGAAAAGAGTAAAAAACTCTCCTGTTTTTTTTTTTCTTCTTTGGAGATGGAAAAGAAAATAAGATGAAATCTTTATAAAGTGGAGGGATTCCTCTTCCCACAACTAGTGTTTTCTACTGTAACATTTGTCCTGACTACTTTTTTGTTTTTCTTTTTTGGTGACAACTCTAAAATTTTGGATTTCCCATCACTTTCAGTCTTAGTAACTGTATTCACCAAGAAAATAGGAAGGAGAGATTTTCCCAGTGTTGGAACAGACAACAATATACATTCACCGGCCATTTTATTAGGTCCACCTGTTCAATTGCTTGGTAACACAAATGCTAAACAGCCAATCACATGGCACATGGTGCCAGATGGGCTGGTCTGAGTATTTAAAAAACTGCTGACCTACTGAGATTTTCATGCACAACCATCTCTAGGATTTACAGAGAATGGTCTGAAAAAGAGACAATATTCAGTGAGTGGCAGTTGTGTGGAGGAAAATGCCTTGTTGAGGTCAAGTCAGAGGAGAATGGGCAGACTGGTTCCCGATGATAGAAAGGCAACAGTAACCCATGTCAATATGGACCAAAATCTCTGAGGAATGTTTCCAACACCTTGCTGAATCTATAGTAGTGTAATTTCTATAAGAATTCTAACCCTTCCCTACTCTACCCCCCCCCCCCCAAAAAAAAATACATTTTAGTGAGCCATAGAGTCCAAAATCAGAGCTACCCAATTCTAAATACTTAAAAAAAAATCCCAAAAGTGCATAGAGACAATTAAAATTATTCAATGTTTTCCACAATGTTTTTCAGATTTTGCACAGCTTCTCAAGTCCTACGTTGATGTTGTCACTAAATGTGATATCGCCCACCTGGAGCGTTCCATGTCAAACATGACCCTGGAGGAGAATCAAAGGTCAATATGCAGGTCCACAGCTTCATATGAAAACATAATGAAAGCTCAGAAATTCAACACTGAAGAGGAGTTCCAAAGGCTTCATAAAAAGTCACTAGAAGAAGCCCTCCTTGAGTTTGGAAAGACCTATATTGCACATGAGAAGCATCAAGATGAATACCGTCATCAGCTAGAGGTAGTTCTTGTGAAAGTTGTAATGTTTCACAAAAATGGATGCATTTATTTATTTTGTGTTGGCGTTTTTTTGGGCAGAAAGACATACTGGAAAAGAGAGCAGAACTCTGGAAGGTATGTGAGGATTCCTCCCTGAAAAAGTGTGAAGATCTGTTTAAGCAACTCATGTGTGACCTAGACCAAGCTCTAAAGGCAAACAAGTACCATGTGTCTGGAGGATATGATGCATTTGCAAAGGACAAGGAGAATATATTAAGAATTTATAATGAACAACCTGACAAAGGCATTAAGGTAAACTTAAACGATCTTCCAAATTTCTTGTTCAATTGACTGAATATATTTGTTTTTTTTTCATTTTACTTTGGTTTAAATCAATGTTTGTAAAATGTTTTTCTCATGTAACCTCCATTGGACTGTTTCTGTCACATACATGCTTGAGGCCAAGCTGACGAGAGGGCTGCCCTTACACATCGTTCTGTTTCCCATGGAGATAATGACAGGGTATAATAGGGCACAGAGTGCCGTGGCTGCCTGTAGGAGATCCGGTTCTGAATATCTTGAAAGCAGATGCAGAGCTGGAGCGGGCCAACGGGTAGTAGGACGATACTGGATACTGGATACTGGATGCTTAGTCAGATGGGCGGAGGTTGGTAACAACCAAGCAGCAGGAGTGCAAAGTCAGCAGCCAAGTTCAGAGTCTGAGCCAAGCCAAGGTCAGCATCAAGTGGGCAAAAGATGTACCAGAACAGCAGGCAGGAAGCAAGGACAGGTCACAAGCCAGAGTCAGCAGCAGAGGATCAAGAACAAACAGGATGAGCAAGGCAGGTCAGGATACAGATGAGCACAGGGTTAGGTCACAAGCAGAAAGAGCTGACGACCACTCAACAATGGACCCGAGCCCTGAAAGGCTTTAAATAGGCCACTAGGAGCTAAAGTCCATTAAACAAGCACCAGCACGCATATGAGCATGTGCACAATACTAATGCTCACGTGCATGCGCATGTGCCCGTATAGATGACCTCAGGATCCTAAGGCTGTGCACAGTTCTATTGATTGTTCTTTGTGATTGCTCATTTCTTTGAACACGGGTATTCATTTCAGCACGGACATTCCTTTGAGCACAAGCATTTCTTTGAGAATGACTTTCCTGACATTTTTCCACTTACATACTAACTTCAATAATTGTTTGTACATACATTTTAGTTTTTTTTGTACAATAATCTATTTTTTGGACATTAATTATAATAAAAATACATTTTGCAATGCACAATTACATACATTGTGCAAATCTTAACCCCTAAAGTTTTGTATGAGTGGGATAGGAATATAAACTCTAGAACAGCGGTTCTCAACCTGTGGGTCGCGACTCCTTTGGGGGTCGAACGACCATTTCCCAGGGGTCGCCTAAGCCATCGGAAAACTAATTTCCATGGTCTTAGGAACCGAGACATCGCTCCTTTCCGATGTCTGAGGCGAACTGCGCTCCTGCCACCAGCAGCCGATCTCCGGGGATGCTTGAGGAGGGATGATACGCTGCTCCTGTCACCTGGCCACAAAAAAAAAATACCTCCGGGATCGCTCAGCAGCTCCTGCCTCCTCGCCGCTGATTGGCCACCGGAACTGTAGCTCAGGAGAGGCACACAGGCGGCCAATCACCGGCGAGGAGGTGGAGCTTGGAGAGGAGGAGCCGAGCGGCAGCGCGCGTACATCAAAGAAGATCGAGGGAGCTGCCGGAGCGAGTGAAGAGGAGAGCGGCCAGAGAAGGAAGACAGCTGACAGGTAAGTGAGAGAGCGAGCCCAGGCTGTCACTAATACCAACGATGGGGCACTATTCCTCCTCCCCCACTGGGGGGCACTATTCCTCCCCCCACTGACCACCAACGATGGGGCACTATTCCTCCCCCCACTGACACCAACGATGGGGCACTATTCCTCCCCCACTGACACCAACGATGGGGCATTCCTCCCCCCACTGACACCAACGATGGGGCACTATTCCTCCCCCCACTGACCCCCAACTGACACCAACTGATGGGACACTATTTCCCCCCCCACTGACACCAACGATGGGACACTATTTCCCCCCCCCCTGACCCCAATGATGCGGCACTATTCTCCCCTCCACCACACTGACATCAATGATAGGGGAATATTCCTCCCACTGACACCAATGATGGGGCACTATTCCTCCCCCCACTGACACCAACGATGGGACACTATTCCCCCCCCCCCTGACCCCAATGATGGGGCACTATTCTCCCCTCCACCACACTGACATCAATGATGGGGCACTATTCCTCCCACTGACACCAATGATGGGGCACTATTCCTCCCCCACTGACACCAACGATGGGACACTATTTCCCCCCCCCCGACCCCAATGATGGGGCACTATTTTCTCCCATAAAAATAACCTCCCACATCACCCATTCACTATCCAATCACAGCCTTGACCAAGATGGGGCACTATTCTTGACCCACTGGTTACGAAGAAAGATGGGGCAAAGCTATTCCTTTGATATCAAGATGGGTGTTTATTAGAAAAATGTACAGCATTAGATGGGAACTATTCCTCCCACTGATACAGTCCAGTATGGGGCACTATTATTTTATTTTAGTACCAAAAAAAAACACATGGGGCACTATTCCTTTTACTGTATACAATGATATATTATTTAATTTAATGTAACCTTACTCGGGGATGTATTCCTACACTGACACCAAATGTTCATTGATTTTATAGATCCCACTGACACCAATGTGGAAGCACTATTTTCATTTTATACATACTATACATGCAATTTGGCACGTCTGTTGTTTTCCTATTAGATATGATCATTGATTATTTTCCTGCTTATACATTTAAATAGTAATATTTCCCACTATAGATTTATTGTTTTGGAATACATACCTTTATTGATTTTGTTATTAGATATATTCAACTCACTTTGTGTTTTATTTCTGTTTATTGGGGCCCTATTCCTCCCACTGACACCAGGGGGGGGGAGCGGTGTTGAGTCCTGAAATGTGTTGGTGTGTTGGCTTGTTTTTTTAAATTACATCAGTTTAGTGACAAATTTAATTTCCACTAGACTGTATCAAGCTTTTTGGCACTACTCATCCATCTAATGCTCTGCAGACTATTTGATAGACAACACCCCAGTTGATAAGACCTGCCTCCAAAAAACCCCTGAATTTTTGTCCACTTGTGGTTCAGTGCTCCACATGAGGACCTGTTACTGGATCGAGAAAAAAAATGTCTGAAAAGGTTTAACAGGAAGGAGCTTTTAAGTGAAGTTAAGACTGTTAACATTTATTTTTCAGCGATGTATTTAGCAGTTTGCATACACTTACTCCTAAACAATACTCATAAAGTAATCCGATTTCAACCAGGGCTCTGTCCTAGAGCATTGCCTTGGGCCAGTTTGAATTTGAGCTTGAGGAGTGGCCTCATAGAAAATGGCTGCCGATAAAGAAATACTATACTTCTTGATGAATGTGAACACATCTTATTTTTACAGGCACATGAAGTTCTCAAGAAGCTTTCAGACACATTAGAGGGCATAGGAAACACAATACCGAAGACTATCTCAAGTAAGGCTTCTTACTTAGTCTCTGAAATCATACAAATAATTTATCTGTAAGACAAACATGTAAAAGGTGTAAAGGTGACTTTTCTTTTCAGTTAAAAAGTGCCGAAAACTTAAAAAGGCAGATTCCCAGGACTGGGTCCAGCTTTCACTTTATATTAAGGATTACCAGTTACACTCTGAGAGATTTGACCGCCTTCTCATCCAGCTCTTTGGTTTCACCAGCCATGGAAAGTCCTCCTTTGTGAATTCCTGTCTCTATGTATTGGGCAATGGCCTCTTCCAGGACCAGGCAGGAGAAGGAGTATCCTATGGTGGGAAGACCATGGAGAGGAAAGTGTACAAGCTCACCAACACAATCACTATGGCGGACAATCGTGGCTTTGCAAAGTTGGGGGATCCAGAAGCTTGGGAAATGTACGTACAATTATGTAAGTTGACCTCTTGTTCTATACAAATTGTGAAATGTCAGAGATTCTCTGTTACTAAATTCACCTCATCCATCTGTATAATGTTTACTATGATCTCCTCTTATCCAATTAAATAATTTACCAACCCATCCAACTGGGCTTTTCATGCTACCAGATAAGAACTTATTATTTTTATAATGCTTGCTGACACATACTGAGAATTTTTGCACGAAAACTTAGAAAACATTGGGTGAGGTTATTGAATCAGGATTGTATCGTCTCTGGACACTTTATTTACCTTGAGAAAGGTACCATTTTGTTTAATTTTATTTGTCTAAATTTTATCAAAATTGGTCTTGGAATTCACCACCTGGAAAAATTAGCAAATAAACAAAAAGTTTCCATTTAGAGCTAGGAGGGAAGTATGCTAATGGCCGTGAAGTTGTGTGGAGGAAAATGTCTTGTTGAGGTCAGAGGTCAGAGGAGAATGGGCAGACTGGTTGGAGATGATAGAAAGGCAACAGTAATTAAAGACACCACTCACTACAGCCAAGGTATGCAGAATACCATCACTGAACACAACACATCCAACCTTGAAACAGATGGGCTAGATTGAAAAAACATTGCCTGGTCTGTTGAGTCTCGATTTCAGCTGTGACATTCAGATGGTAGGGTCAGAATAGACTGGTCATTGAAATAAATGAGTGAATGTGCTGTGTGCCTGGCTGCGGGTAGTGATGGGCAGACTGGTTGAAGATGATAGAAAGGGAACAGTAACTCATGTCATAATGGACCAAAATCTCTGAGGAATGTTTCCAAGACCTTGTTGAATCTTTGCCACAAAGAATGAAGGCAGTTCTGAAGGCAAAAGAGGGTCCAACCCGATACTAGCAAGGTGGACCTAATAAAGTGGCCGGTGAGTGTATGTTGTACATGTTTGCAGGGAAGGAATGACGGAAAATAATCATTTGTGTTTTTTTTACATTTCTAATTTAAAATTTTAAAGGTAATTTTGCACCATTTCTTGAGAAGGTAGAGTGGAATAAAAACTTCCAGACACGAATTGATGGTCTAAATCATAAAATGCAAGAAAATACAACTCTTGAACTGATAGTTCCCGTCTTTGTCTGCAGGTAATTTTAGAACTGTAAGAATTCATGAATCTGGTCAGTGAACTGTAAATTGTATTTTAATGAATATGTAACTTATATATTGATGGGCAAACCTAGTTTGAAATTCGGCAAACCCAAATGTAGAGGTGAATCCCATTGAAGTCTATGGGGAGGCAAATCTTGTTGTTAAATTCTGACTGTTTTTAGGGCTATTAGGCACTGCAATGAGGGACATGTACCAATGCAAAAAAAAATTTAAAATGAAAATACTGTCTTTTCATCTGACTTCAAAAGCAAAATTGAAACAACACAAAACCTCTAAATAACAGCTTTCCTTAAAGTGTTATTATACAATTATTTTAGTAAATATAAACTGCTAAATAGCTTTTCTCGTCAGCAGTCTTGTGACTTCTATCAGTGTCCAGCAGAGCACTGGTTAAAGCTTGTAGGAAGAGTTTTCTTTCTGCTCTAGGAGGATGCAGAACCCCTGAACTCTGTCTGGACATTGTTGATTGGCCATAGGCTGATCACATGCACTCTCCCTAGAAAAAAAAACTCTCTAGCAATACACACCAAACTGAGTGTTATGATCCGCAGGTGGTGCCTCAGGCTGCCAACTGACAGACCTACTCAGAGCGTGGGGTCTAAGCCCGGGCTGTTCTTTCACCAGGGCCCCTGATGGTGGGGATGGACTTGAAACAGTCCCGGGCCAGGTCACGACCTCCGAGCAGGCCCACCAGTGGCTGAGGAGACCTTTGGGGACAGGTACCGGGAGAGCCAGATATGAAGAGGATGGTGGCCCCAGCAGGGTAGTAACGAATCGTGGGCCCGTGAGGGTAAGCGGGGTACAGAATTGGTAGGCGAAGAGTAGTCGGGTCACACGCAGGGTCAGCAGGGAAGTCAATCCGTAGAATGGTCAGGGCAATCCGGGTCAAACGCAGGAGCAGGCAGAGTAGTCAGGACAATCCGGGTCAATCACAGGAGCAGGCAGAATAGTCAGGGCAATCTGGGTCAATCACAGGGGCAGGCAGCGTAGTCAGGGTCAATCAGGGTCACTAGACGGGTGCAGGAACTCAGGATCACAGGAAGACCTTGCGGCAATCTGTGACAGTGCAGGGCATCTTTAAATAGTGCGCCCTGCACTGTCATTGGCCGGCTAGGACGCGCCCCCCGGCTGTCATTGGACGCCTGAGGCGCGCCCGCGGCTCCTCCTACTGCGCATGCGTGGCGTCCTGTCAGCCTCGGCTCGCCGGGACCTAGTGCCTGTGTCCCGGCGCGATCTGCCGCCAATGCGCATGCGCGGGGGACAGAGCCGCGATCGTGGACCACGGAGCCGCGATCCCTGACACTGAGTATGTGCAGTGTCTCCACACAATGTGTCTTGTCAGGAGATAAGAGGGGACACTGGAAGTCTTTGTACACAATGCAGAGGATTAACCCCTTAGGTTCCACAGTGAGTATAACAAGCATGCTTTACTGCATATATACAGTAAACTGATTTTACTATTGTGGGTTTAGTAACACTTTAAGCTGCCCATAGATGGAGCGATTTTCCTCTTGACTCCCCCATCAACACAGTCAGTGTTAATGAGGGAATCCCTCCCGTGGAGCTATTGTGTTCCCATCAGGAGAACATAGTGATTACTGCTAGCCATTATAATAGCCACTAGCAATAATCACATATAAAATCTGACAGGCTGCTTGTACCCAGGTTGATCGGTCGATCAGCTTGGGTACAATCAGCCTGCCCATAAGTGGTCTGAACCTGGGCCGGTCCCTGCTGAACCGGCCGAGATTCGAACTGTCTATGGCCAGCTTTAAAGGTGTGTGACTCCGAAAGGAAAGCATACTCTAGCAGAACATAAAGTATCTGGCCGTGGAATTGATTTTTTCCTTTTACAACTAGCTTGGCTTACAAAGAGCAGCAACTCCCCAATCTGATTAAAGTGGTAGTAAACTCTCCTCTTCAACTTGTACCTACAGGTAAGCTTACAATCAGACTTACCTGAAGGTACAATGAATATCTCCAAAACATGCACCGTTTAGGAGATATCTACATCGGCAATAGCCAATGACGTCACCATGCAGTGACGATCTGCATTCAGGGCACACAGCATTCAAAGGCCAGAACAAAAAAGAAGCGCACCAACCTTGCACATTACCTCAGTAGACCAAATTTTAATTGAATACAAAAATATACTCACAAACAATGAAGTATTTCAAGCATGTCAGTTCTCAAAAGGAACTATGGAATGGTAAGACCTGCGCGAGTCCCATCATAGGGGTGGACATTCAGGGATCAGCTGACACATGTCAAAGGATGTTCCTTCTTCATCAGAGCTGTTCCCTGAGTGTCCACCCCTATGATGGGACTCGCGCAGGTCTTACCATTCCATAGTTCCTTTGAGAACTGACATGCTTGAAATACTTCATTGTTTGTGAGTATATTTTTGTATTCAATTAAAATTTGGTTTACTGAGGTAATGCGCAAGGCTGGTGCGCTTCTTTTTTGTTTTTGCTTCACAGTATTGGTCGGGCTTCCCCAGCCTTGTTTGGAGCTGCACAACCCCATATGCACAGGTGGTCGAATTTTTTCAAGTTCTGGTTCCATCTATCCACCTCTTTTGGGTCTCAGAGCGCAGGAGAGTTTTTTTTAATTCAAAGGCCAGAGCCTGAGGAACCCAGAAGGAACCCCTGGCAGCGGTGATAGCGCACTGCTGGAGGGCCTTGCTTGCAGGGTAATCGCTAGTTTGCACTACATAATAGCACATTAAGGTATATATATTCAAGGGGACCCATTTTTTTATTTTTTGGGGGGGCAGTTTTACTACGGATTTAATTTCAGTTTTTTAAAAAAAATGTATTTTTCAAGATTTTTCACAAAATTCACACAACTAACCTAGGATTCAGTTATCCGGGAAGTGAGAAAATATGGAGAAATAGACCCTTTGTTTCTTATTCATTTTTCAAAAATAACTTGAATATTTTTGATGTTTTTGTTTATATTTGCTGAAGTAATCTTGAATTACTCTGAATTGTGACTTTCCTCTTGTAGCTCAGAGTACAGTGATGATGAATTCAGCTCCATCAAAACATTCCTAAAAAAGGCTCAGGAACTGACCGGTAAGTGCAACACTAAACCTGTGATGATGGTGGTAATCCCAACTGGGAACATTTATAAAGTCAGTAAAGGCTGAATAATGGAGCCTCCTCTGTTGTTTTGTAAAAGGTTCATCTTCTTTTGAAAATTGCCACTGCCTAAGATCCCTTTCAAAATCTGCTTTGCTCAGCAGGGGATTAGTGGACACAGCAGAGCGGGTGGATGACAGCTCCATGTCTCTTTCATTCCTGCAGAACGAACATTGACCGAATCAGCTCTGCTTTATGGGTGTACGGGTAAAAACAGACATCCAACTTCAATCTGATCCACCTAGCCCAGTGGTTGGCAAGCCGCGGCTCGCGAGCCACATGCGGCTCTTTACAAACTTTTATGCGGCTCTTCTGTGTGCCGGGCGCCCGCTCCCCTCCCTCCTCTCGGGCAGCCGCCCCAAAAGTCAGGACTCTGCAGCTAGCCCAGCAATGGGCAAACTACGGAGCGTGGCAAACATTGGCTGTCAGGATGTAGGCGGGGCAGCGTGACAAACTCCTCTCCTCTCACAGTCCACCCTGAAGACCGGAACGGCGCGGGAACACGGCGAGAGGAACGCGCGGAGCAAAGGTAAGTGAATTGACACAATATGGGGGATGAATTACTATAGGGGGATGAATTACTATGGGGGATGAATTACTATGGGGGATGAATTACTATGGGGGATGAATTACTATGGGGGATGAATTACTATGGGGGATGAATTACTATGGGGGATGAATTACTATATGGGGGATGAATTACTATAGGGGGATGAATTACTATATGGGGGATGAATTACTATATGGGGGATGAATTACTATATGGGGATGAATTACTATATGGGGGATGAATTACTATATACTATAGGGGGATGAATTACTATATGGGGGATGAATTTAATTACTATATGGGGGATGAATTACTATATGGGGGATGAATTACTATATGGGGGGGATGAATTACTATGGGGGATGGGGGATGAATTACTATGGGGGATGAATTACTATATGGGGGATGAATTACTATGGGGGATGAATTACTATATGGGGGATGTATTTTCAGTTTTAAAAATGTGGCTCTCAAAATAAATTTCAATCGTGGTTTTGGCGAGATTTGGCTCAGTTGAAAAAAAGGTTGCCCACCACTGGCCTAGACAAAGGGGAACAAATCCCCTTTCTTTTTTCCTCTGCAGATCAGATTGGAGGTAGGTGTCATTAACTGGACACAAGTCCATTTACACCCACCGGTCCATAGGAATGCATGGATCACGTGACAAGGTCTGCCTGTAAAACTGACAGTTGGATCTCACCAGATCATCCATGTGAAAAGGGACTAGAAAAGTCTGTCCCTTGCCATTATACTGCAGAGAAGGACCCTTGCTCTCTGTGTGGAAGCAGTGGTCTCTCTGCAGAGCTCCAACACACCCCTGTTGAGTCAGGCCTGTAGCATTGCAATCAGTAAATCTCATGCTCATCACGGCTTGAACAGCATTAGCTCTAACTCAGCAGAGGAAATTGAGATCTTTCCACAAAGAGACAAGGTTCCTTCTTCACAGTATGCTGGCAGGGAAAAGTTTTTACTTTCTAGGCTGTGGCTGCTTTCTAAAGAAAGTGAATTGTAAGGCCAGTGTGCTTTAGGTCTTATCAGAAATGGCAGTTTCTGTTTTCAAGAGAATATATACTATTAGCCATTCTTGCGAATGACAGAAACAAATTGCTAACTTAAAGTGGAACTAAACCCATCGATTTAACAGTTTCAACAAACAGCTACATTCCCGGGACATGCCAGAAATGTAACTGTCACAATGGTTGAGCTCTCAACCAAACTGTCAAACCATCAAATGGCTGGTGTCATAGCTGATCACATGAGAAGCATCATGGCAATTAAAGTTCAAACAAAGGTCAAGATGGCAGCTTTCTTGGCTGAAAACGATAAGAGGGTTTAGTTCCGTTTTGTTAGTATGTTAGTCATTTGCATCATCTATTGATGAATTCAGCGTTAGACAAGGATATTGTTGGTTATGTGTTAGAGAAGACACTGGTAGTGATGAGGAAGAACTATGACTTTACTTGTGTGGCTTAAGTTGCAAACATACAGAGCACATTTCAGCAGTGTATAACAGACATCTTACTTCCTGAAGAGATGAGAGAGAAGAGAACAGGAAGAGAGAGAACCAACAAGTTTTACACATATGCACAACTGATAACCTTAGTGTACAGTGCCATCTACTGGTCAAGTGATATTAACACACAAATACAGTATATAGTACATGTTGTTGCATTCCCAACAGATATGTCATGACGTCAAAGAGTGGCTTTATCAATATAGAATTCTAATCATATCATACTAATCATGTACATTTGTCCAGGTATTCAGCCCTTTGTTGTCCTGACCAAGAGTAGACAGGACTCCAGACTACAAACCAAATTTGCGCGTATGGGGATTGAGAACATCTGTCCTATAGAAAACTACCTCATCTCCGACCATTTGGCAGAGAGGCAGAAGCATCTCACCTTGTTAAACTTCTTCAAAGACGTCTTGCAGTCTGTAGACTTCCACTTGAAGGAGAACCCTAACCTTCAAACTCAGCGATATGAAAGGATGAACTTCCTGATAAAGATGGCCAAGGACATTGAAAATAGCTACCACTGAAGAACAGCTCTTCTTCGTTTGCTTCCTCAGCCTTGTTCGAGCAGCCTGTATGTGAACAGCTTTTCTGGCCAAGGATGTGTATTTCTATTCAGCCAGTCCAGAGATTTCCATCCTACCAGAGAGCACAGCCAGGTTTATGGCTTGACTTTTCTCTACTTCAGTTAAGCAATACAGCTTGGTTACCTTACTGCTAACTGCCTTGTATTTGGACATTAGAGGAACAGCAGAATACTGAGTCATCCCTCTGCTTTCTCCTTGTATCAGCATGTTTCTTATCAGCACATGTGCATGTAGCACACAAGATTAGCTCCCAAAAGGGATGAACTAACAGTTTTGCCCATTTGGCCCCCTGTTCTGCAGGAGCCAAGCATTATGTATAAAGTAGAAGCGTTATCTCTATCAATTCTATATATGACAGCTTCCCGCTGTCACAGGTTCCTAAGGAAGGAGGTTGCACCTGTAGGAATGACCGACATCAGGGCACATTGCCTTATGTGGTTGGGAATCCCCAAGATTCCCCAGCCACTTGTCATATTTGGGCAATGATGCCACCACAACCCCCTCCAATTCCCTTATATAGCTGATGACAGCCAGGAATCTGTCTTTTGGGTAGAGGCAACAATGGGATTGGTCTTGTGTACTGGGCATTGGGATTGATAATGGATTTACAAAGAGGGACATTTTGGGGGGATCGTTATTTTTTTTAATAATGTACTTGTCAAACATTTGGATATTTTTATTTCT